GATAATCTTCAAACCAAAGCCGATACCTTTTTAAAAGCTCATTATCGTCAAATGTTTCTAAAATGTTTATATTCCAAGGTAGATTGCTGGCAACAGCCATTTTAGGATAGTTCAGATTTGGTTTTAGTGACTTAGGAGTCCTCTTCACTACTAATGTTTCACAGATTTAGGAGCTAATTTTAGCGCTAAAACGCTTTGTGAAATACTCTTAGAACAAAAATGTAGTCCTCTTGTGTTTTAATGCATCATAGTTTCTAAATCTTTAAATATAAATATATAAATAAATAGTATTATAATGTATTATACTGTAACTGTGGTTACAATTATTATACATTATTATATTTATACACCAGTGCATTATGAGGTGCATTATAAGGCATAATTAATGCATTATATATAAAGGCTTCATGTAAAGTGTAATCAAAAGATCATGTACATGAATGCAATGCAACTTTGTGTAAAAGCATCCAAATATATCTCTATTATAGATCAGCGGTTATAACCCGCTATGCGCCACCTAGTGTCCAAATGCCAAATCCATCAAGTGTAAAATGATGGGAGATGTTGACCACGTACAGTGGTACAACACCGAAACCTTTTTTGTTAGGTTTTAGACACAGATTTAGATCAGCAAAACTGATTCTACACAAGAGGAACAAAACCAAAGCAGAAGCAATGCGACCAGTTAAAAGTGAGTAACGACTGCTGTACTCTGATCATACAAGTGCACTTTTACTCTCAATCAATGCACTGTACGACCACCCTTCAGTTCCAGGGCTGACTCATTTCAACACAGCCACCCTAAAAAGTCTCTAGACACTACAGTACACTCAGTGGAATATGTAATTCATCGTTTCCACGTGCTAAAATGTCTGCATGCCCCCTCAAAACACCGGGGGAGGCTGCACTTTCTGGATTTCCTGTTGTCTTTTCATAGCTCTGCGTAAAACCACAATACTCAGAATAAGTTTCCACCTCTGACAGAACAACATCTAGCTTTCATAAGACTTGATATCCTTCTTCAAGGATTCAAGGACGCTCCTTCAAGTAATGTAAGTAGCTACATATCAAAGTTATTTGATTATTTTTGTGTGTGTGTGGCATATGCTTCTATTTCGCATTTTTGTCTAGTTTAATACTTTTCTTAAATTATAAATCAGCATAAAACGTTAAATTGAGAAATAAACATGAATTTGAGAACGTATTTCCTCCTTTTTGCTTTAAATTAATATTCCGTGTCCAGTACAAGTTAAACTCAATCGACAGCACTCGCTGATTAACGTTACCTCGAAATGTTAATTTCTTTAAAAAAGTGAGGCACTTACAATGAATTGATCAACCCATAAACGATTAAATACTCAGTTTTAGAAGTGTATTCACAAAAGGTAAACGATATGCGTGTTAGCATGATTTTACAAACCCACTTTGAGTTCCTGTTACCTGTAAAAGTTACATCTAACTTTACGACTTTGTTGTCATGACAACGCAGCGTCTAAAACGAGGGTAAAAACAACGCCGAATAAATAACACATACATTTTAATAGAGGAATTAATGTAAGTGCTTTTATAATATTATAAGCTTCACATTTCTTATTTTATATTATTCAAAAATCGATCCAATTCACGATATTCCTGTTGCATAAACTGCTTAGACTAGTCTTAAAAAGTTGTTTTTTCTAAGATGAGCTAATGATTTATTAACGTAGTAGAATGAAGCAGGGTGAGGCTGAAAGCCGTCGAAGCGAAACGAGGCCCCTGAACGAGTGTGACACACGGCTCGAAAACAGGAGCTTTTATTATGCCACGGTCGACCACTTCCGCTCCTTCCGGTCGTGCGTATGGGGGGGTGGGGGAGAGCAGCGCTGTTTTATCATACGATACATTTGAAAGATCTGTTATTATGCTACTCTGTGCGGTCGTTCTAGTGGTTTTTGGATATTTTAATAAAAAAAATCTTACATATTGTGCCTTTAAGCAACAAATGCTGTCAGCTGAACTTGCAGCACTGGAACAGCCATAGACTAAACCTGTTTACATGATAAGCACCTTGTGCAAGAACTTCTTCACTTGTTGAAATGATTTAAAAGATAAATGTCACTAATATTTTCTTTTTTTCATATTTAATATTTACCCAAGGACCACAACATCATGGAAAACACAACCATATTGCACCCAGATTTCCAGCGCTATCTCTTCACACCCGTCTACAGTCTGGTCTTGTTTTTCGGATTGATTGGAAATCTCGGAGCTTTGTATTACTTCATCTTTAAAATCAAACAGAAATCTCCTTCAAACATATACATCATTAACCTAGCGGTGGCCGACACGCTTTTCTTGTTCGCCTTGCCATTTCGTATCCACTACCACCTCAATGACAGCAACTGGATATTCGGCCATGCCATGTGTCGCATCACCGGCACCATCTTCTTCGCCAACATCTACATCAGCATCAGCTTCATGACCTGCATCTGCGTGGACCGCTACATTGCCACCCTCCACCCTCACACCTACCTGCAGCTTCGCAACACAAGTCTCACGGCTATGGTGAGCACCGTCGTGTGGTTGGTCTCCGGGTCGGCCATGTTGGCCTTCATGCTAAAATGCCCATTATCAAGCAAAGGGAACATGTGCTTTGAGGGCTTCACTAAAGAGGAGTGGAGCGACTTGGCGCCGTACAGCATATGCAGTCTCATTTTTGGATCCCTTCTGCCCTCTGCGGTCATCCTGGTGTGCTACCCCATTGTGGCCCATCGCATCGCCCGGATCAACAACTCCACCGCCCGCGTGGCACGGCGGATCATCTACGCCATCCTGGTCATCACAATTCTGTGTTTTCTGCCTTATCATGTCGTGCATCTAGCGTACCTCTTGTCACGCTTGAGAGACATCAAAGAGGATGACGGGATTTACTTCCTCCGTAGGGTGACCATGGCTCTGGTCAGTCTAAACAGCCTCCTGGACCCACTGTTGTGCTACTTTGCCACGGGTCACTACAAATGGAGGCTCAAAAGACTGAGGCTGAAGAAGAAAAAGGGTGTTTATTCCATTTCCAATGGCTTTTGATGGCTTCGTTTCAGCTGAACTATTTCAGTTAAAAGGTATAAAAAAAAGGCAAGACAGCACATAAAATGAATCTTTAATGCCAAAAAACAAAACTGAAATACAGAAAAATGGACTCCAATGTGGCTTGATGAGTTAGGTTTTTTCTCATATAATTGTACTAATATTTGATTTTGCACTAAGAATGACTGTAATTTTTTATTACATAACAGTAAACTTATTCATAGACTGATATATTGGCCAGTATTTGGCTTTTTTGTAATGATCTTGGTTCTGAATATTCTTTTTAAAATTTTGTTTCTCAATTCTTATCAATGAATTATTACATATATTAGTAGATGTAGATCAGTATCATCCCTGCATTTTGTTTCAAATTCTGAATACTGACCACTTTTTTTTATGTTGAACTTTTATCTAAAGCTAAGAAACAAATGTTTTCACAAATGACAGCCTTCTCGATCAAGTTTACTAAAAAAAAAAAAAAAAACTTTATTGTTATTTTTTTTTAACCAAAGACAAACATCAAATCAGTGTCACCACAGTCACGAAGGCAGACCATTCTTCAGCAACGTAGACAAGAAACTGCCCAATTCTTCATCCTGAGGGGGACAAAAATCATTTTAAAACACAATGAGAAACAGGTTAATATAGTACATTTCAAAACCTAAAATGTAAAATCACCAAGGTTGCATTTATTTAATCAAAAAGTCAGTAAAACCAGGAATACTGCTAAATATTGTTACACTTCATAATAACAGCTTCTATTTTAATATATTTTATATTATTCATTAATAAAAATGTCCTTTATTTCTCTGATGTCAAAGCTGAATTTCAGCAGCCATTCAGCACAGTCTTCAGTGTCACATGAACTTCAGAAATCACTCATTTCCTGATTTGCTGCTCAAGAAAAAGTTCTTCTTATTATCAATGATGAAAACAGTTGTGCTGCTTAATATTTGTGTGGAAACTAATTTAATTTTATTTTTTCAGGATTCTTTAAAGAATAGGAAGTTCAAAGGAACATAATTTATTTGAAGCAGAAATCCTTTGTAACATTATAAATGTTTTATTGTCATTTTTCGATCAATTCATTGCATCCTTGCTGAATAAAATTAAACTAATAAAAAAAGGGTCTAAATGAATACAAGCTCTGAAACCACTGAGCGTGTCTTAGTGTGGTCAGAGGCGTTTCTATAAGACGCACTATTAGACAAAAGTAAAGTGAACCACGCTAGACAGTGACACCGCAAATTCACTTTCTCTCACACATTTGTTGCGGTTTCAATTGCAATCCAATTGTGCCACACTGATACATACTGAAGAATGTGATTTTATGGTAATATGTCTGTTTTGTCAGGCAGTTGGTGATACCAGTTTGTTTGGAAACATAAGTGCAAAAAGTTTCCCTTGTGGGCTGTGAGATGTTGTGCATTCCACTAGACCAACTATCTGACCACGAGCCAAATAAAACAAGTGAAGTTTCCACATACACAAAGCTACTTAAAAACAGTGAAGACAATATAATCCACATTAAATGATCAAGAATTAGTTCATCACATGTTTGTTCACCTGGTAGCTCCATGAGAGCAGAATGACTTTGAGGTTGGGCTCCTCGGCTGAGGAAGTCACTTTAATAACGATGGATTCCACGATGACGGTGCCGTCTGGGACGTGCTGGATGCTGTAACTTTTCAATACACTGTAAGAGAGAACGAAAAACAGACTTGACCTCTAATGAAACCTTTATGAAGGCATGAACCACATACAGAACCTCATACCTCATATTTGCCCATATGGACTGGCATTTACACTGTGGCTTGAGAGGTAGAAGTGTTGTTCACTGAGGGGCCAACGTTTGGGTGAAATGACTCACCTGCATGCGATGTACCAAAATGACTAAAGAACCATTATCCATGAAACATTTGGAAGCCAAATGGTTTTTTAGTTGACAAATTACAGAACGGTTTGAGTGGATTCTTTAGCTTTAAAAAAAATATTAGAATTAATTTAATTTATTACGCCAAAATTTTATCATAAGTATTTAATTACACTTTGTCATATGAACAACCAGTCAGTAAATAGATTGATGCAAGTCTCCAAAAACCTAAAATAGTTCCCAGTTTGGTTTGTATCTGATTTTCCTGATAAAATGTCTCATGTTTAGTGAGGAAATCCAACAACAACAACAACATTTATTTATAAAGCACATTTAAACACAATGTAAATTGATACAAAGTGCTGTACAGTGATCAAACAAATCTACTAGGGGTGCACCGATTGATCGGCTACCTATCACTATCGGCCGATAATCATGCTGGGATGATTGATCGGCGGTCTCTAAAAGGCCGATCTCAAAACAAAGAGTGAAAAATTTAAGGGGGTCTGAATACTTTCCGTACAGTCAGCAAGTGTCACATCGTCACTAAAGTTTGCCAGTGTTTAACCATTCTCCTGGACATCGTGCAGTAATTACCATAAATGCATATTATTAAAGTCTACTGTGTTTCACAATCAACACATATGGCTTTTTGTCTAGGTTTAAAGGGAAAGAGCACTTTTAGATATAATAATTTTAGATACAATAATAGATGCACTCGTGGAGGTAGGAAAACAAAGTTCTTGCTTGTAATAAAGATTTCAATGCAAAAGAAAAGGCAGTAGCGCTGACTATTTCTGTCAATGGTAAGTTTAATTTGTTTATCAAAAAATAGAGAGGAGTCAAAAATCACTCCAAGGTTTTTGATTTGTTTGCGTACATTAGTTGAAAGTGGACCTAACTGAGCTTCCAAAGCAGGAGACAAGTGAGCAGGACAACCTAATATTAAAACCTCGGTTTTATCCTCATTTAACTGCAGGAAATTATTAGACATCCATGTCTTAATATTATGTACACATTTCAATAATACATCAAATGAAACGGCAGAATCAAGCCTTACTGGTAGGGGTGTAACTATTCACTCGTTTTCTCGATGCATCGATTACAAACCCTGACGATGCAATGCATCGATCTTGAAACATGGATGTTTGAATCGTCGATTTCGGACAGTAATCGATTTAAAACGCTAAGAATCGAATGAATCGCGATTTCTATAGCGATTCAATGCTTTCAAAATATATACACATGAAATTACTACAAGCACGAATTAATGGAGACCCTGAACAGTGTTCGTGCCCTCGCATATCTCCTTCACGCGCTCCACTAACCACCTGTGACTGTCACAGGATTGCGCTCGCGCTCCGTTCATCTCACTGACACATTTTTTGAGCAGCTGATGTGTGATCTCTCTCCTTAGTACTCGTGGCCAGTCATGCTAAAGTGAAGTAGTTTTACTTTTCTGTAGTTTTTCAATGGCTCTCGGCAGGGCAGGTCTTAGGGGGGCGGGGGCCCCTGGGCTTGAGGTTATGCTTGGGCCCTATACCTACACTACAAATGCCCTCAAATAGAACATCATTATGGAGTAACACAAAGTACACAAACATATGCTTTGAGGTTCATAAATAGTACAATTAATATGCAACATGTCTAAGCTATAGTCAAAGTTTAAATGTAATATTAAATATTCATTATAATATAATAAACAGGATGTGTTCTCTCAGTTGAGAGATCAAAACCCTGACATAACTGAGCAAAAAAAAAAAAGTCAGATGTTGGCTTATTAGTATTATAAAAGTTATTGTCATATCTGTGTCCTCTTATGTCAGGTTCTTATTTAATCACTAAATTAAATTGAATAAAAAGACATGCTGGCTATTAACAATCAAATGAAATCACTATCAACAAAATTCATAGATGGATTGTGCATAAATGTTAAGTTTAAATATAACATTTTAATGTAGAAATATTAAATGATTGCAAAAATGAAATAAGCTACTTATTTAAATATGAAACTACAACCGCCCGTAGGTGGCAGCAAGTGACTGTCTTAATGAGTGAGCTGAATCAACCGATTCGTTTAAAAAGCTGATTCATTTAACTTTGCAAACGACTGTACTTATAGCCTGATTGAATCATTTGCTGGTCCGTGTAACGCTGAGGAACAAATCACTGTTGTTCGGAGACGCAGCGGTTCTGCTGTTTGTTGTTTTCTTTCTGACGGAGCAAAACGGAATTTTGTGTCTGAAAGTTACTCTGTAAGTTGTTGTTTATTGTACATTTGCGATCGTGCAGATATTCTAAAAAAAAACAAAAAACAGGACTCTTGTTTGTGTGATAGGCTAAGTCCTATATCATAGGCATAGCTATGTTATAAAAACAGAAACTCATTAAATTTATATTTTTAAATTTAAAATCATTTTGATGACATTTCTTCTCCACTATGTGTAATGGCAGTAAGACGAGAGAGAGCGCTCAAAACTCATTAGATGATCGCATAATTTAGTGGAACATTAATATAGTAATACAGAATCATCCTCTGTAAAGAAATAAGGTGTGAACATTTGAGAATTTATCATTATCTTTCTAAATGTGCGCTCTTTGGGGCTAAAGACTTAATGGAGCCGTTTAAAGTAGCCATGTGATAAACCAATCGGTGCAGACGCGATTCAATATGTGTGTCCTTCTTCTATGCGAAATAATCATAAATACCAGTTTATGCTGTTTGATTGTGGCCTCGA